GTTTCCCTACAAAAGGTTGAACTGGGGGTACATTTCCATAGGTCAAAGGCTGAGGAAATAGGAGGCAGTAGGTGACTTTTCCAGCACATGGGCAGGTTCAAGCTGAGAACTCAAATTCCACATGATGACATATTGTAAAACCTGCTCCATGCTGGCATGTTTCTGTAATGCCAGTGAAACACATCCATGTATTCTTAAAGAGATGCATGAGAAATGACAGTCATTGCTGCAGAAAATTTATATCCTGTAATACCATAAATGGTGACAGCACAAACCAGACAAGCCAAGTAAAAAAGAAAGAAGATGCAAATGAAACTGTTAATAGGTGCAGAGATCTCTGAACTGTCCTCCTTCCCCTCTGACATGTTTATGCTCAACCTGGTGACCTCTTATAGAACAATTTTGAGGCCAAAGTCATTGCACTCAGTTGGACAGCACCTGCAACAATAAAGAATTCTCATAGTAGGTTTTCGTAGCATTATTAAGAATGGCAATAAGTCTCTGAGGCACTTAGAGACGAATTTTAAGTCTGTGCAAGGCCCTAATTTGAAAATCCTGTTTTGATTTGCATAGTCAGTAGTTGCTTGGTTGCTAATTTCAGTGTAAATTTAGAAAGCGAACTGTCCTGAATGAAAGAAATGTTAGGTCTGTCAGTAAAAATCTTTCATTGCAGATTCCCAGAAGTCTCCTGCTTCATTATTCTGGAAGAAGGAATATAAAATGAGAAATGCTAACATTGGAGAGAATATGTCAATCTGACTCCCTGAGTTTTGTTCAAAATATGAATGACCTTGATGATAAGGACATGAGAACTGTATTTAGAGATAAAATTCTGAGAGGTGGTGTTTTTAAATGGACTTCCAGACTGAAAAGGGTTATCTGATATGTATTAGAGCAGCACAGGTCAAGCTGTGTGTCCTGTCTTCTCTTTGGCTAGAACACACAGTTCTTACTGGACAGAATAAAGATTTCTTATTTATGCAGTTGTGCTTAGCTTAGACACAGAAATCAGAATCATGGAATAGTCTGGGTTGGAAGTGACCTTTAAAGGTCATCAAGTTCCAATCCCTCTGCAATGATCAGGGACATCTTCAACTAGATCAGGTTGCTCAGAGCCCTGTCCAGCCTGACCTGAATGTTTCCATGGATGGGGCACCCATCACCTTTCTGGACAATGTATCTTCCTGTGAGCCAGGCAGTGGAAGGTAGCAGTGGTCTGAGTTTCAGTCCTCACCTACAGATACTGCTGTGCCACAAGCTTGATCATAAGCCCAAGAAGGGGATTTAACTATCAATAAACCTGCAGAGCATGAGTGATGTCTGTATTCAGTTTCAAAATGAAATTTTCTGCAGACCTTACACCCATCATGGTGAAACTCTGCAGGATGCACAAGCCCTCAGTTAGTTAACGTGTATTTTTCAGCACTGTTTGGAAAGGGGCACAAGCATGAGTGAAAATCAGACTTCTCCACGTTGGTTTTCTGCAGTTCTCCTTCTTATTTATCTGTGTGTGAGAAGGGGGTTGTGTGTGGATCTTTCTTTAATCTTCCAGTTTTGACCAACATACCTGTAAAATCCCTTGACAAATTCAGCTTCAGTTGTGCCTTTGGCTTTCCTGATCCCATCTCTACACATCTGGGCAGTGTCCCTATATTCTTCCCAGGATACCTGTCTCTTGTTCTACTGCTTGTGCATTTCCGTCTTACATTTCAGGTGGACCAGGAGGTCCTGACTGACCCATGCCATTCTCCTGCCTTCCTTGCTTCATTTCTTACACATGGGAATTTGAGTGCTCTTGCATTTTGTCCTCAGAGAGCTGCCAGATCTTTTCAGTTCCTTGAGAGCAGTTTCCCACGGGGTGCCATTCACTAGTTCCTTACAGAGCTGAAAATTTGCTCTCCTGAAATTCAGAGTCTTGCCTCTTCATCTGGCCCACATCCCTCAGGCCTGAGGTGTTTGCAGTGCCCATGTCTACAACTCAACAAGTCACTCCATTGAGCAAGATCACATCAAAGAAACATAACTGGTGAAATTATTTTCTTCCCTTAACAGAGACAGTCTGGCTAAAACAGGAACACTGTATTTGGAAGGTAAACTAGATTCTATGCCAAGAGAATCTTTAATTATTCAGATATGGCCCTGTAGGTCTGATAAAGCCTTTCCCATGTTAAAGACGTATCAGAACAGCAGTTTTTCCTGCATTCAGCAGCCCAGTACTACCTCAGAGAGTTAACAAACAAACAGTTACTTTATTTGTGATCTTATAAAAAGAAAACACAGTTTAAAAGCTGACATTTCTTCCTCAGTTGACAATTTTTCTTAGGAAGAAAATTACTCACCTACATTAATCTCTTTTAGAACAGAGGAATTCTTCTCTGTGTGAATGATTTTGTGCCTTACCAGTGACCCCATATAGCAGGTTTCTTGCTGCCAGGGTTCTTGAGATTTTACCAGATTACCATTAGTACCTTTCATCTTGGAGTTCTGTTTTGACATTAACTTCACCGTATCTTTGCTTTGAGGGCTACATTAATTATGAACAAGAATCATCCAGTATTTATCATTGCAGATAGCAGAGAAATCAGAAGATAATAATGATACAGACTAATTAACTATGGGTGACCTGAATTGCTTAATAGCCTTGGTTCATTTGTAATTTTCTTATAATATAATCAAATGTTTGGTCATAGTCATAGGTCAAGCAATGTAAGATGTAGGATTGTCATATTGGAAATAATAACCCTAAGAAAACTGTACTGTGTTGCAGTGGATAACTAATTAAACACTACACCCTTTCTGAATGATTCATGTATCTGTCTGTCTCTGTTTTAATTAGGTGGGGATACCAGTCAGAAACAGCAATGTGATTTACCACTGAGCACTCAGCAATAATACAGCTTTGGTTTTGGTGTTCTTAATCCAAAACTAATACTGGAAAACTTTGAAATTTTTGAGAAAGAGGCACAAAAGTGATCAAGAAGAGAGTTTTAATAATATGAGTTGTATAATCTTTTAGAAATAGAGATTAATAATCTTGAACTCTGCAGAGAGGTCTTTTCATAATAGAAAGTCTGTTCAAGCAACAGCCAATGTAACATGATCCAGTGACAAAGAGCTAAGCTAAAAAGTGAAACTAAAAATGAGATGCCCAAAATTTAACCGTGACTGTTACATGGCCTCAGCCAGAAGTTACAGCATCAATACAGGGCTCATTCTGATTCTGTAACTTGGGCTACACAGGCTAAACAAGATCATTTTAATAATCCCTTATGACCTCAAAGTTCATGAATCTTTGAGTCCTGGATGTTATTCTGCCATGTGAAATGATCCCTGAAACTGCCAGGTTTTCAAGAATTTGCTTCTTTTAGTCACAGCTATATGAACAGTTTCTATATCCTGGATGTGTGTCTTCCTCAAAATTTGAGACAACCAGAGGTTGTATAATCCTGAGCTTTAACACCACAAAATTTCAAATAAAACCTCCATGACATAATAAAATCGCCTTGTTCTTTATACTTTTTGAGGAAACTTGTTTTGACCCCTGAACTGACAAGTAGTTCATGAAATCCTGCAACCATTTGGACTGGGAATGTTTTTGCATTTAAAATACCGGAACACTAGTCCACAAAAAAATGTTTGTGGTTGTGATGAAATTTTATCTCGTACCTCCAGTTTCAGAGAAACCGATCTCTAGTTTCGGGTACTTTATGCTCCGGTCCCGGAGGAATTACATTCTCTCAGCGCAGATCTGCACAGAGCCAATACATACGGAGTGACTCATGGTGTATTTAGATTAAGCAGCTCAAGAAGAAACCTCGGAGTTCCCTGCACTGTGCCTCTGCTGCTCCGGGGAGGAACCACGCAGCCTGCACCAGCTCTGTGCTTACAGTCCATTGAAACTGTGACCCCTGGAAACGTAAACAGAAAACTCCCGTGTAGTGGCAGTGACACAGACCTGCTGAAGCGATACAGTCCTGCTGAAGCGACACAGTCCTGCTGAGTCACCTGCAGCAGCAAACAGCAGGGAAAGGCTGTGCTTAACAAGGCGCCAGACCATGACATCACCCGTGTTTGACAGGGTGACAGGCAGCCCTGAGGCTCCTCAGCCTCTGTGGCCAACTGCCCCACGAGGAAAACAGCCCGTGGAGAAAAATTAACTCGACCTTGAATCGGGAAGTGTCTTTCCCAGGGGCTGTCCCGGTGAGACAGTGAAATGAGGTGAGGAAGGAATCAAGGAATGGTTTGGGTTGGAAGAGAACTTAAAGATCCAGCTGCAAGTCCCTGCCATGGTCAGGGACAGATTCCACTAGGGCAGGCTGCTCAGAACCTCATCCAGCCTGGTCTTGAACACTTCCACGGATGGAGCAACAAATGGGGATTCCTCTTGTTTGAGTTAGGTCCTCACCTTGTTGCTTAAAACTAGCAAGTAATATAGTCCTTGGTTATGCCAACCTGGAAATTGCGTGACTGTTAATCACAAACCCCATCACTAGTTTTTAACGGGGCCAGTGGTATCTCAGCCCCTCACCCCTGCACCCTCAGCCTTCAGCCCTGAGCCCCTCAACCCCTCAGCTCTCAGTCCCTCAACCCTGAGCCCCTCAGCCCAGAGCCCATCATCTTCCAGCATCTCATCTTCCAGCACCTCATCCCTCCAACTGTCACCTCCCGGCCCCTCAGCTCCCACCTCTTATATTTCATCCCTCAATCCTGAGACCTCAATACCTGAGATCAGATCACCTCAGCTCCCAGTCCCCCGTCCCCTCAGCGCTCTCACCCCAAAGCCCCGGCCCCGCCCAGCCCGCCACACATGCTGCCGTTCTGATTGGTCACAGCTCTTAGAGTGACAGGAGAGATAGCCAATCAAAGAGCGCAGAGCAGTGGCGGGCGGGGAGGGTTCCCGGGTGGGACACGGGCGCTCCGCCCCACGCCGCGGGGAGGGCCGGGGCGGCGCTGAGGGCGGGAAGGCGCCGCTGTCCTGAGGGAAGGAGCCGCTGCCCGCGGGGAAGGAGCCGTCCTGGCCCTCTGTGCCATGGAGGACGTGCTGCCCTCGGGCCTGCTGGAGATCTGTCTGCTGGTCGGTGCGCCCACAGAGCGGGTGCGAGCGCTGCTCCAGGTGAGCGGGGTTCGGGCGGGCGGTGCCAGTGCGTGAGGCTGGGTTTGTCAGCGCCTGGAGCTGAAATATCCGAACAGAAAGTTGTTTTGAGAGGCGAACGTCAGCAAAGCTGGGGGAATTTGGTAATGGTGTGAGGCAGCTGCACTTTCCCGAAGGTCTGAGTTTAGCTGGGGAACTCACTGTAGGTTTATATAGTCAGCGACAGTAAAACGCTTAACGATGCGTTCTTTACTGGGTGTTACTTCACGTCCTGTCTTCCGCTGGAGACAAAAGCAAAAGAATCAAGGCTGGTAACTTGTATCCCCAGGAAAGCACGAGATCTAAATCCCCGTGAGCTCAAGTGCTCTGAGTTTGGCGTAACCTGGACCACTTGGATACGGCAGGAGCCGATGAGTTGGTTACTACTTTGAATATGCGGTTTATAATTTGTTTATCGTTTTTCACATGTGGGTCCACAATGACATCCCTCCTCCTCCCTGTTCTGCTTGGTTCAAGTGTGCTGACGGGTTTGTTCCAGACCTACGAGCTGCTCCGCGGCTGGGAGAGCTCTGGTGCCAGCACGTGCAAAAAAAAAAGCCAGACAGCTCCCAGGGCTGTGAATTGCTCTGCTTGAACTTGAATTTGATTGCGCTCTAATAGCATTAGATAAAGAAGTCTTTGTTGGGCTTGTTGCTTGTTCACTCGCACAGGAGTTGGCTTTTGCTGATGTCAGCTTCTTAAGTGATAACAGCCAGCTAGAGGTTCACATTCCAGGATCTCATTCATGTGTACCTTCAGAATGTAAAATAGTTCCTAAATGTCAGCATCAGACTTTTGAAATCGGTGTGTACCTGGTGTTTTATCACAAGCGTGAGAAGTGAACCCAGAGTAGGGGAATTTCTTATTAATTCCAGTTTGCTTAGTTTGTTCTCAAACCTGTGGAACAACAAAAAAGAAATCGGCTACAGAAAGCAGAAGGCATTCTGATATTCTGATCACACTGCAGGTTCTGAATTGTTTTTTTGCTCAAGATACAAAAAGGCATCGGAAAAGAGAGTAGTCCCTTCTTTTGTCAATATGAACTTCAGTAAAGTCCCTGCAAGTTGTTGCACCATGGGGATTTCAATCACTGTCTTAGGGCAAGCTTGCAGATTTACTCCATTTCCTTTTACTTCTGCAGCACTGTCTACGTGAGGAGAGTGGAATATGGCTTTATGACTAATTTTAGTGATTGTAGAAAGAAAAGACTTTACTGAGAGAAGATAACATTCCAAATTAAAGTAGTGGATCTCTGATGATATTTACAGATTAAACAGTGAGTAAAAATCCTGATAGTGCTTCAAGTTGTGGTCTTCACAGTGTGCATTCTTAACTGTATTGAAACATGGAGTGATAAAGCAAATTAAGTCAATGGGACTATGATATAACCCATGCCCAAAGTAAGAAAAGTTCTGTATGACTGTTGTCGATGGGGACTCCAGGAAAAAAAGTGTAGTTTTCCACTGAAGCTCCTGAAACAGAAGTTTCTGGGCTGTCATCCATTGCTTATCCTTATTGCCAAGAAAACTGTCACACTGAGATTTCAGTTTGAAAAGATCAAAGGCTGCTATTTTCAGCTACAGATTTCTTTCTTAGCACTGGAAGTGTGTGTTTTGTAAGAATGACACGTACAGAAACGATGCTTCTTTTCCCTAAGTTATCTACAGCTATAAAGCTGGGTTTTGGTTTGGCAAGCATGTTCAAGCTGTCTGTGACATGTCTCAGATCTTCAACAGGTTCCATCAGTGGGTTCTCTATCTGCCCACGAGAGTCAGTGGTACAGAGCTTGTCTCGTGCTTTCTGGCCCTGCTGATGCAGACAGAACTACCAAAACAATTTTTCTTGCTTCTGTAATGCCTCCCTGGCTGTCAAGGTGCCTGAAAGAAAGGAGGTGTTATCAGATTGAGCACCAGTCAGCAGTATGTGCTTGTTGCAGTGAAAAGCACCTGGAAAAGCTCTAGAAGTGAATCCATGGGAACCCTGGGAATCAACAAAGCCAAGTGCAAGGTGCTGCACCTGAGTCAGGGCAGTCCCTACTGTTGTACAGATTGGGTGATGCAGGAAGGACTTGGGAATGCTGGTGGATGAGAGGTTGGACATGCCCTGGCCATGTGCACTTGCAGCCCAGAAAGCCAAACGTGCCCTGGGCTGCATCCAAAGCACTGTGGGCAACAGATGAGGGAGGAGATTCAGCCCCTCTGCTCTACCTGGAGTGCTGCATCCAGCTCTGGGGTCCTAAGCACAGGAAAGACATGGAGCTCTTGGGATTGGATCCAGAGGAGGGCCACAAATATTATTAGAGGAGCACTGCTCATATGAGGATAGGCTGAGAGAGTTGAGGCTGTTTGGTCTGGAGAAGAGAAGGCTCTGGGGTCACCTTATTGCAGACTTTCAGTACCTGAAGGGGTCCAAGAGAGCTGGAGAGGGATTTCTGACAAGGGTATGGAGTGATAGAATAGGATGAAGGGCTTCAGCTGACAGAGGGCAGAGTTAGATTAGATGTTAGGGAGAATTTTACTGTGAGGGTAGTGAGGTGCTGGCGAAGGTTGCTCAGGGAAGTTGTGAATGCACCAACCCTGGAAGTGTCCAAGGTCAAATTGAGTAGGGCTTTGGGTGGCTTGGTCTAGTGGAAGATGCCCCTGCCCATGGCAGGAGGATTCAAATGAGATGATAATTTAAGGTCCCTCCCAACCCAAGCTGCTGTGTGATTGTCTGAAAACTAACTGTGTAATGGCCTGCATCATCAGGACTGTGGCTCACAGGCAAAGGGAAGGAATTACTACTGTTATTGTTATTACTCAAAACCCTTGAGTTCACATCTGGAATACTGTCCCACATTTGGGTACCTTTATTCTGGAGAACTGCTGGCAAATGAGAGTGAGAGCAGAAGAAGCTGTGCTGAGGGCTGGGGCATAAAGGAGGGGGAATCTCCTTTCAAAGGGACTGCTGAAACTTGCCTGGATGAAATCCAGTCATGCAACCAGACCTAATGTCAACTTTATCATTAGTTTGAGCAAAGAGTTGCACAGGAATCTGCAGGGGTCATCCTACAATTGTTTGGATTGGAAGGGACCTCAAAGATCACCCAGTTCCAACGCCCCTGCTGTGGGGCAGGAACACCTTCCACTAAACCAGGCTGCTCAGAGCTCTATCCTGCCTGACCTTGGACACTTCCAGAAATGGAGCATCCACAGCTTCTCTGGGCAACTTGTTCCAGTGCCTCACCACCCTCACAATTCACAAAAGAATTTATTTCTAATATCTAATATAAACTTGCCTTCTCTTGGTTTAAAACCATTCCCTTTTGTCCTACTACTACAACCTAATTGGCCTGCCCAATCTAATTTTTCTGAGGCTTTCTACTTTCCCTGCCTAATCGTTTGTTAAAGCAACCAGTTCTTTCAGACATTCAAAGTGAAATTAACTTCTTCAGTGATGGGAAGAGGAGAATGAGGTCAAGGAAACACCAGACAGCTGAAGTCATGCTCTGATTTGTGGTTTCAACACACTACTGTTTGTCTAAATAGTGCAGTCATTGTAGAAGTCTGTCTTGTATCGGTGTCCTTTACCACAGTGCTCTTACGGGAACATTGTCAGCAAATGGGGATGGAATAAAATCCCCCACTTCTGTTTGTAAGAAGCAATGTATGATGCAAGGAGATTTGGTAGCTAGAAGCTACAAAAGGGAAGTATTTCAAAGTGAAGAAGTAACAGTAGCAGCAGAAAAGATAAAATGTTCAAAGAATAGCAGAAACAAGTGAATATTGTTCTCTTGCTGCCTATTCACTATCCCTGAACTCAAGGACTAAGAAAATATGACTTTAGCCAAGACATTAATATGAGCTGACTCAAATGCTGGGGACTGAGTCAGTGGGTCAGTAACAGTGCTGTTCTGTGGGGAAAAATGATCTTTAATGTCTCTGTAGTAGTTCAAGATCAAGGATCTGCCATTTCGGGAGCTGTTAGGCTGTGAGGCCGTTAAAATTGCTGGCTGCCATCCAGCACTTTGGAGCATGGAGATGCCTCAGTGTAAGTTCAGGGATTGCCCTGTCAAAGCAACTCTGTATGAAAACCTCAGCAGGGCAAATCTGCCAAGTTGAGATTGCTACTGTTGGAATACGTCTGTGTTTTTCTTGCATAAGTGCCTCAGGGTTGAACCTTAATTCTTAATTTCCTCCTGAAATGTTTAACTACATGTTAGTTTGAGGATGATCATGGTGAATTTATCTGTTTCCAGTTTATTCACCGCCTTTGTCAGCTGCCAACTAAGAAAATTACACTTGAAATTCTTTGTGTGTGAGGATGTGGCACTCAGTACCCCAATTTGTGATGTGCTTTTTAAAGTCATTGCTATCTTTTGACTATTCCACTGGATACTTACCTGAGCTTTTTTTTTTCCACTCCAGTTTATTTCTAGTTCAGGCTCTTTGTTCATTAAAAGTGTGTTTTTTCACTTATTTTTAGTGAAGCATTTTCGTTAGAGTATCCTATTATAAACATGGTGTCGTTTATGGAATTAAAAATACCATAACTTATAGATCATTAAGCACTTCTTCACATTTTTCCTATGGCGCTCAAATGTGGAAAAAACCTATTAATGGACGTATCTGCTGGGACACAAGAGCTGAGACTTCTCTCTCAGAACCTGGACAGTGGAAGATTGGCAACAGAGCTTTCTATGTTGTGTTGTTTTTTTTTTTTTAAAGGGAAATGATGGGTGAGGCCAGCACTGGTTCTCAAGGAGCATCTTACATCATATCTGGTGATAAAAGCAGCATGTGTGTTTCACCTCATCTGACTTTGAAGATGTTTGCAAAAAGTTAAAAATGAAACAACTTTTTACCACAGCGGGGCTCGCCTTTCCTGTTTCTAAATATCCGTTGGTTAAACAAAGCTTTTACTTGTTTATTTAACCTTGCAGGAAGAATTAAAATTGCAATGAAGTAATTGAAAATTCAGCCACTTGGCTTGACTATATGGTCAAGAGTACAAAAAGTGCTCCCAAGTACCAGGAAATGTCTCTGATCACTTCCTCCACAGCTTTGCATTGCAGGGCAGTGAGGGCTTGCAGGCCAGTCATCCTTTGCAAAGCTGCCTGCGAAAAATGTTGTAATGTTGTAATTCCGTACCTGCTCTTGAGATGCCTGTTCCACTGAGTCATCAATATATTGAGGAATTCTCATGGCTTCAGTGTCTTGAAGTTGTGTTTATTGTAACAATGATTGTAGTTTTTAATTGTGCTTTTTTAGTTACCTTATAAAGTTAAGTGTTGTCTTGTGAAGGTCTGTGTTTGTGTTTTTCGGAGTTTTTGGTACATGTTGTTTATTCTGAGTTGAAAGGAAGCTTTTCCTGAAGTTGAACAAAGACTTATCTAAGATGCTCAGCTGTTTCTTTTCATTGATTTATTGCCTGGTTTCTCTTATTGCCAGTGTTTATTTTGAGTATAGCTTAAGTATATCTTAACACTGAAAAGGAGGAAATACGGTATTTGATACTTGTTAGTTTCTTTTGCCAGAGGCATAATACTGACATGGGGGATTTTGAATGGTGAAGGATTCCTTGCCTGCTAAAAATGCCCATGTTCCTTGCCTTAGTATGCATAAAGCAAAAACTTAACAGAAAAAATAAATTAGTTAGGAAGCAGAAAAATATATTCTAAACCCACAATTTTAGGGGTAGAAAAAAACCCCCACATATCAGGATGAGCATCAAATTAGTGTTTGTTTTGTTTGTTGTTTTTTTTCTATAGGGCACTCAAAGAAAACTCAGAAATCTTCCCCCCCTCGATCCAGAAGTTCTTTCTGTATTTGTGCCTCCGTTTATCAGCAGAGATGATGTTCAGGTGATTAATGCTGGTAATAACTTCAATAAAAGCAAACGCCGGTCCTTTCGAAAGAAAAAAGAGAGGCCCAAGGTTGAAAATGTCAAGAGCTTCAACGGGGAGCAGAAAGCACCTGACACAGAAGATGTGGTAGTTCCAAAGGACATTGATCTCATTGCTTTGCCACAGCTCTGCTTCCCAGGTACATGAGGACTTCTTGTTGACAGCTGTTTTAATATAAATATTTCTTGACACATAGTTCAGCCCTTATTTTTTAGCCCTTGTTGGTAAATCTTGGCTTGAACAAAGTGCAAACATGCACACACTTGAAAAATTATTTTTCACCCCAAAATGGTTGATTCATGATGATCTCACTTTTCATTTGGTGTTTTGATATACCTGAACTAGTGAATATTTCCTCCGGGTTTAATTGGAGAAGCTTTAATGTGTCATCATTGCAGGCCTTTTTAATAGCTTGGGGAAAAAAAAAAAGGTTATTTAAACCCATTTATTGTATTTTGTCACTGAAAATGCAGAATAATTCCACTTTTGCTTCTTCAGTAATATGCAGTCTCTGTAACAACCTTTAGTTCAAGTGGACTGTATATTACATTTTGATCCCTTAAAATGAAACATTTCTCTTGAAATGAAGTGTCAATGTGCAGTATTTGTCATGAAATGTCTCTCACACAGGTGTAGTTAAATATGTAATTAAAAATATGGTTGCTGCCTTCATTTCAGGAGGCGTTTATGTGACTTCTGAATCAAAAGAGGACCACATCCATTTCCTGGTCTTCACTGATGTCTGTGGTAACAGAACATATGGTGTTGTTGCACAGTACTACCAGTCTATACAAGTATGTTATTTAACTCATTCTTCTATTAAAACAAATAAAAGCAAAACACTTTGAAAATACAGTGAGATTTAATTTTTCAAATTAGTTTACAGGTGTGTTTTTATGTTAGAAAGAGTTACAGAACAAATCATACTTTTATATTGCCATTTTAAATTAAGTACTTTGGAACACATTGCATTAGGAAAAATTGTTACAGATTTCATTTAGGAGATTTGGATATTTAGGAGCTGACTGTACCCCCTGGGTGGTTTTTTTTTGGTAAAGATTGTTCTTTATAAACAATGGAAGATGTTCTTTCTAAATACATTTTGTGCTGAAATTCTTTTTAATACATATTTAAGTTTTATAGGCTGACATTTTTCTGAAGACCTAAAGGGTGATAGACGTCCAAATCCTTTTGAAATATGGAGGGAATTGCATATCACATCTCTAAGGTTCTCAAGAAAATATCAGCCATAAATTAATGATTAACATAAAGTCATTAATGTGCAGCTTTCTTGCAGGATGGCTCCACCTCCTCCAATGGGCAGGGCCATTGGGAATCTGTGCAGACTGGGAAGATACCTGTCTATTTTGTACCCTGTGCTGTTTGTGTTATATCCAGATACCCGTATTTTAGTGCCCTCAAGGATTGTCTCTCTTGGTAAGATTTCTTCCCCTATGTATTCCTGCTGGAAATGACTGCAGGTTTTTAATACCTGAATTTGCTTGATGTGGTCAGGACAGCTGTGTGATGCTAAAGCAGTGGTTAGTTTTATGTTAAGGTTGTGTGGGAGAGGAAAAGAAGAAATGCTATGTCAATGTTGCCCAAGACAGTAAGTGCAAATTTTGAATACCAAGGGAATTATTTATGCTGTTGTCTTCATTTTCTTTGGGAGTTTTTGCTAATGTGTAGGGAATGGATATTTTACAGACATTATTGGTTTTTTTTGGAAGAAGGTTAGCTGTAATTTTGCCACTCTTAGGAAAATTGCTTTCAAAGAATAAAAAGCTTTATAATGCACCAAATAAATGTCATAAGAACATGAATATAGGTATTAATAAACAGTTAATGACACTTTGGGGAAATAATCCAGGTCACTGGTGGAAGTAGAGTGATTACTTGGGTGTTGTAGAACTAGGAAAGAAATTCTAAGGATACACTGGTTAGAAACAAATACTCTGCAGTGTAGATGATTTAAAAGGTAAGTGTACATGGATCTATCTTGTTATTAAGTAATTTTATTTATTTTGAGGATACTTTATTGTTAAATTGCTAAGATCTATTTGCATCTATTTTGGATGAAAACCTCACATCAGGGAACCTCTCTGTGTATGTTGGACATTACTGTGTGTCTTCACTTGCAGACCTGTTGTTCAAAGGTAGAAGTGGTTTTCTTCATTAAATTTCAGTCAAGAGTGAAATCTGAATCCAGTTTCGGGTATTTGCTTCTTGTATGTAAATTTAAAGATGTTGGGGTTTTAGGTTGGAGCTTAAGTCTTCTCCTTTGTTCTGCTGGTGCTTGTATCCCAAGCAGATGAGCAAGGGAGCACTCCCTGGGTACCAGCTGAGGTGCATCCCCAGCCCCTAACCTGCCTCCAGACCCAACCTGAGCACTCGTTTCCCCACCCCGTGCCCCTCTTCCTCCCCGTGCTGTGGATTTGCATCTTCTTGGAGCACTGACTGGCTTTCCCTGGGTTGCATGAAGAGAGCCCTGGAGGAGCAGAGCAGTGCCTTCCTCCTGGGCATTTTAGACATTGACTCAAAAAGGTTTTGAGATCAGAAATTAGTCACTCTGGCAGCCCTTTTAAGGGCATGTACCTCTGCTCTGTCATTTTTAAAGCATTAGTGAAGGGATTTAATGTGGGTAAGGGACTTCAACGTGATGGAAACAGGGTGTGCACAGGTCAGTGTGAAATGAAAATAAATGTTCAGTGAAATAAAAAGGAAATGTTTGTTTTCCTTTCTCCTTCCTGCCTGGATCACTCCCCCCTCCTTTTATATTTAAGTGAATTACATCAGCCCTTGGTATTGCAGGAACTGATTCACTGCTGCCTTTTATAAGTCTCAAATCTCAAGTCAGTGCTAATCTGCATATGGAACTCTTCCAGCTGTGACTGTAGCTGTGGCTACTGTTTTCATCCAGCTTTTATAGTGGAATTCCTGCTGCTTTTATACTGTGAGCTCAGCCTGTGAGAGGACTCACCTCACACCAGCTTTCCACTTTTTGGGAAATAGTATGGATTCAGCTTGGAAGTTACAGTACTCATCATGGTTTATGTAGGGTATTCATAAGTGTGTAATTTCTTCTCTGAAGTGAGACATCTCTGTACTGGGAGAAGCAGTCAATTGGCAAATGGATTTTAAAAGTGCCTGCTGAGAGAGAAGTGGAAAAATCTTCAGGACAACCATGGAAAATTCCAGATGTTGTGAAAGTGTTTCTAGTTCTCATATCTGTTTAGAGGAGACAGTAACCAGACAGAGTTAACCCTCTAGATCTGCTTCTGCCTCTGCATGGGTATTTTAAACTTAATAATTATTTACAAATTATAATTAAACACCTCTGCCTTGATCACATATAGTAGGGTTTGGCACCTATTTAAAGCATTGATGTCCACACATAGCTTTTCTCTTTTGAGTCTGCACTGGTTTCTGAGAGTTCAGATTGATCACCACCCTACAATCTAAGCTTAAAGTGATTTGTAAATGTGTGAATAATTATAGGGAAGTTCAACAGGACAACAACCTTCCAGGTTAGTCTTTTGCGTTGTCCTGGTCTTTTAACAGGGGGATTTTTCACACAGCTGCACAGCTCTTCTCCTTTTTGCTGCTGCATCTGTGAGATGGGACGTTGTGTGTAACTGGAAGGAGCGAGGTGGGGGGAATGCCAGTGACAGCTGAATTTAGTGTTAGCATTTCCCATGGTACTGGAAACTCAACTATTTAGGTTACTGTTAAATTTTTTTATTTTATTAATATCCTTTTTCTTGATAGTATTTAATGGCTTATTTCAGAATGTCTGCCCTTCTGGTTTTGGTGTCTTGGTTTTTTTTAGGAAGTGTTTCACTGTACCAGAGTACACTAGGGTGGAGGGAAGGGAAGGGGTGGAGATGTACCAGTTTTCCTTATTTTGGTTGTACTACTGAAATGTTTCCATGTGGCATGAAACAGCTGCTGGGGTGTGTGGCTGTTCTGAATGCAACATAAACAATTGCTTCTATGAGATATTTTGAGTATATTGCCCTGTACAGCTGGAGGTGTTCTGACTTTCTGTGATATTACAAAGCACTGACATTGTATTTCTGTAAACCAGAAGGGAGTTTATTGTGTGTCATCAGGTGACCAATGGGTTAAAAATCTGGTTAAGTGTTTTCATTCCTTGAATGTACTCAGGTAGCACTGCCTCTTATACTTTATAGATAATAACACCTTCAACAGCACACTTGTATCCTTGGCATGCTGCAGAGGTGTTTTGCAGGATGCTTCAACTGATTAATTATTCTCCAGTTAGGAGTTCTGAGAGCACTTGCTGGTGGACCTTAAACTGCCTATTTCTAGTGTGTAGCCCTTTCATTGTGATACTTAGTGCAAGAATGCTGTTGTTCCTGAAGATCTGATGTTGAAGTAGCACCTAAAGGGGTTCTGCTTCCATTCAGGATGGCTTTTTGCAGCAAAAAGTTTCCTTTTCCTCCAGAATTCTGTGCATAGATTATTTTCTTCAGTATCTAAAGTGCACAGAATTGCTTGTAGGTGAGGTGATACTTGTTTTCAGTCAGAAAAATCACCAGAACTATTATTTTTACATAAGTATTTCTAGATAAAATCTAGGTTCCCAAACTTTTTCAAGTGGCAGAGTAGAAATCACAACTGAAAACTGAACCAAGCTGAGACGTACAGGCAACATCAAGGTATAAATCCATGTAGGTGCTTTGAACTGCAAGGGAATCTGCAAGCTGTCATCTTGGTAATGAAGGACTTTGTATTCTGTGCCATTAATTTTATAACTGATTTCCATATTGCTAGCGCAGCGTGCTTCCAAATCCAGAACATTCTGTGTGGGGTGTGTCTGCCTTTCTCCAAAGCAAGCAGATGTGCACCTAAATGGTTTCACAGCACGGTGGCTGTTGGATTATTCTACATTTTTTGAAAAGATTCAGTTTAACTTGAGAGGTTTTGGCACTTTGCACATGTAGTATTACCTCAATCTGTTATACTGCATGAAAAGTGAAATATTCCTGGCAGTAATTTCCTGGATGAACTCCTGTCTTGGATGGATGAATAGGCTGCATTCAAACAGTAAATCTTCCAACCTGTGTATTCGTCCTTTCAGCTGCCTTGAGAAGAGGTGGGAGTGTGCAAATAGCTCCCAGCACTGAGGCAGTACAAAGGGCCTATTCTGAGCTGCTCTTGCTTTCTGGAACACCTGGCTGTGGACAGTTAATAGCAGTAATGAAAGGTTCATAAACTCCTCAGCTCTCCTCTTGAGTGCTTCAGAGATTACTCCATTTATTTCTGCAGACGTTTGCGGTGCAGAGCTGTCAGCTGCTCTTGGGCTGCATTAATGGGCACCATGTCCTGATTAGGGAGCTCTGCCTGTCCTCTCTCTACATCTGCTGCTTTCTCAGTCACATTTCTGTTGAGGCATTTACTAGATGTCTTGATAAGAGCTGTTTGTCTCAAAGAAAAGGAAAAAAAGACAAGTCTGCTTACTCTGTTGGGCCAAATCTGAGGCATCACTAAGTGTGACAGAATATTTATTTAAATTGATGGTTCTCCTGTCTGGTTTTCTTTGATACTTCTTAAATTCCCCTTTCCCTGCATCCCTAAAGGGCTGCTGGACCTTTTGGGAATATGTATGTAAGAGCCCTTTCTTCAAATAGGAAAATAGTGAATTTAAATATTTCATTTAAAAGTGCAGTAATAATACATGACACAATATGGTTTTTTTTCCCTGAAATCTAAATGCTGTACACAATTATGGTGTCCTGGATCCTTATGTATCTCTTGACCTATTCAGTTGCTTCCTTCCTCAAGAGCAAGTGCTCTTCTGCAGGAAACCAGTAGAACTGCAAACTGAAGTAAAACCTCTAGGGAGAAGACAACCATATTCGGTTCCCAGTTTCTGTATATATAGATTTGCCAGCCTAGATTTCTGATTTTGTAAATATTTAGGGGTTTTTGCTATAAACGTGCAAGTGAATCTTCTATTGAACAAAATGCCTTTTGTGACCACAAATATCTAACTTGGTAATTGTTACATTTCAGAAATGCTGTGGGAGTTAATAGTTTTCAGTCTTGATTGTGTGTATGTTTAAATGTTCCAGAATTTATTTGGTGTATAATATAAACCATGTGACTTTTGGTAGGGTAATACAGTTTTAAACCAGAAACATTTGGCAGTGTCCATACAGGCCTAGGCCTTATACTAAATATGGCTCTTGCTTCACATTCCTCTGCAGTCAGGTCTAGAACCTCTCTTTTCCTCTGGTGCTGTTTTCCATCTCAGAGCTGGTGTCTGATACTTAGGATGGGAGGGACACCAAGGCAGTGTTGCAGCTGTGGGTTTTGGTTCCTCAAGCAGTTCTAGAAGACACTTGCTGTAGCCACACCTCACCATCTCACCTCTCACGTGGTTTCCTTTGGCCATCAAAGCACTGTGCTGTGTCCTCTGATGGATATAATGCAGCAATATTTTATGCATGGGAGTACAAAAAAACCCTCTGCTTCTGACACAGCAGCATCATTAAAATTTAATGAAGCTGCTCAAGTATCTAATAAATTAGAAATTAATTAGCTGAAATAATAGCTTCATTACTCTTAATAATTTTTTTCTAGATTATCAGCAGAAAGAGTTTTTTGTGTTTGCATGTTACTATTGATAAGTAATTTCCTACCATTTAATTACAGCTTACTAGTGCAGCTACGACCTTTCAGGGATTTAGATGTCGAGGAGCACATAAAGGAATTTGCAGCAAAGCTGTTTTTAATCCCCAGCCCGCCACCAGGACCACTCCACTTGGTAATTACTCCTCCTGAATTTCATAATGATTTTAACATTATGTCTTCTAAGATACTGAGATGCTGTTTTCAATAAACTGGGTGACATTCATGAGTGTCAGGTCAGAGATTACTTGGTGATGTGAAACTGATATCAATACCTGTGGTTTAAAAATGAGGTTATGTATTATGAGTAGAGAAAATGACAGTGGGACCAGGGTTCAGGCTGGAGTGCTGGCATACCACTCATGTTCTTTAGTTTTCAGTATTCCTCTGGGAAGGCCTTGGCTCATGCCAACTGTCTGTCGTCTGAGATGATGGCTGGGCAGGTCTGGGAGCAGCAGAGCAGTGTGCAGTGGATGAAATGTTGAGTTGGCTGCTGCCTGGATAAGACCAAGCTGAGAGGGGAAACTCACACCAACATTTGTATTCAGTGCTGTGTATTTGTTGCTTTCTGAGCCTTCCCAAGTCAAGCCAGATGTCAGCTGGGTCAGTGATTTCAGCACACACTGCATTGTCTTCTAGGGAAGCAGAACTTCAGCCATGAACTTCTTCTTAGCTGCTTTTCTTGACCCTGGGATGAGGGGTGAGGAGTGGAGGAAAAATAGCATAGCTGGAAAATGTCTGAGTGATTGGCTAAACCAGCTGTGAGTGCTGAAATATGCAGCACGTGCAGGACCCGACCCCCAGAGATTTGAGCTGAAGTATCTGAAATACTGGGAGCCCTCATTTCTTTTGGCTTATTTTATTTTCTTAGCATGACAACCTATGCTCACTTATTTTGCTCATATTTTTTGTATTTCCTGTATAAATTTTATCAGTAGTTTCAATTTCCCAGTTGTATCTACAAATATAAATTTAATCATTTTGTTGTGCTTATAATAAAGCAAGTTTAATTCTGTTAAAAGATGTTTCTAAAAAATTTTTACTGACCAATCACCCTATGAGAATGAGAGGAGACAAATCCATATTATTAATCTTTCAAACTAGCAATTGTATCTTTGAATATTTCTCTTTTTATTTCACTTTTCTGCAGTATGCAAATATCTGTCTTCTTGCTCTCAAAGTTAATATTTTATACTTGGAACTAAAATATTGAATTAAATGTGCTGTGGGAACATTTTCATTTAGGAGTAAACAGAAACCATCTGCTATTACAGGTATTTCATATGAAACCACTTCAAATAATAATTCCTTCACGAGAGGATCCAGACAGTCCAATTATTGACTTGGATCTCCATCTTCCATTGCTGTGTTTCAAGCCAGAGCAGGTGCTGCAGGTAAAACTAACTAACACTTTTAAATGTTTTAGAGATTGACAGTATTGGTAATTTGGAGTTTAGGAAAAAAATCAAGATTTTTATTTACTCAAAAAACTTTATAAAACCAGGAATTCAGGATGGTCTTAGTTCTGAATATTAGAGCTATGGCACAATAAACTGTACTTCTTCTTAAGATATTTTGTTATTTGCAGATCAGATTAGATTAAGGCATATTGCATTTCTTTGCCTGTGGTTTAGAAATAGGTGCTAAATTTCTTAATAATATATTTTAAAATGTAACTACCCAAGCCAATTGACAGATTTTATTTTGAATTTTCACCACATGCATTTCTACAAGATTTATAAGAATATTTCCATGTTTAAGAAAGGGGCCTGTGGGAAGGATTGATGACAATTGGTATTCTCATGCAAATAAGGTGTAAATGGTGTATAAAGACAAGAAAATACAAAAGGCTGTTTGAATTTTTTCAGTGCTTCACAGACTCTTAAAATAATATTGGCTGGAGTGTCATTTTTTAGGTTTCCTGATCAAACTCCCTGCTGAAAGACCACTTGTGAAATTAAATCAGGTTGTTTAAGGTCATCAGTATTATCTGAGACCTCTCCTCAATCATGAGAGTTGGCAGTTCTGCCGTATTTTTTTGGGTTTTGCCCACACGAGCATGGTATGAGTAAAAGTATCTCAAATCCTAAATGGTGCAGCTGATGCATTTTGAAATGGACACAATTTCATTTTATAAATCTTTCGGGTAGTTACTAAAAAGGAAAGTTTTGTGGTTGACTCTCACAAACAGATGAAATGATTGCATTTCTAGTGTGTTCTAGATACCTCTTTGCAAATATTTAACGTTCTGGGGTTTTTTTCCAGATTATGACCTGTATTTTGACTGAGCAGAGAATCGTTTTCTTCTCTTCTGACTGGGCTCTGCTGACACTCGTTGCTGAATGCTTTATGTTGTACCTTCATCCTCTCCAGTGGCAGCACACTTTTGTGCCTATTCTGTCCCGGCAAATGCTGGATTTTGTGATGGCTCCAACGTCTTTCCTCATGGGATGTCACATTGATCATTTTGATGAAGTGAGCATGGTATGTTTTACACCATTGCCACTCTTGATTTTTATTTGCAGTGCATTTGTCCCTTCCATATTAGAGCATATTAGATTACTAAGTTACATTTGTTAAGGCAGTTGCATTTATTTTTCTTGAATGTAATTGTTTAGTTATCCATACAATTTTCTACTTGTGGAAAAATTTCAGTCCTTTTCTAGTTTACCTCTTTGATGAAATTAATTGTTTGAGGAGTATGTAAATGAGAAGTAAATATTTTGACAATATATGTACAGTCATTCTATTTTCTTTTATTAAAAGGAAGGTGAAGATTTAATTCTCATTAATATAGATAATGGAGATATTTCTCATTCAAAAATGGTTGAAGAGGAACTTGAGATTCCAGATGTTCCAGCACAAGCAGCAGAAACTTTCATAAAAAGGTGACAAGATCTTGAAGATGTGTTTATCTTAGTGCATAAATCATGCTTGATACTCCAAGTTTTTTATTTTGTATTATTCATTATTATAATATTATTTAATTTGTATAAACCCCATTGTAAAAGGGCAAATTGAAAATTTCAATTAATTAGTATTGAAGTGGCTTTAAGTCACCAAATTATTCTGCAACAACTGGAATACTTGTTTCTTTTTTATTATTGATACAGATTATACTCTGAGCTTTACAAAGACCTGAGTGCACTATGATTTAAGTGGCACTCCCTGGAATCTTGTTAGCTTTGTCAGCACTTGTAAATCAATCTTACACTTCTCTAGCCGTAAGATGCATGGGCTTAAGTGACTTTTCTTTTAAAGGTATGAAAAAATGGTTGGTGTTAGGAAGTAAGTTAATAGTTTTCTTCTGTGTGTAGAGTGGAGGGTCTGCAGCTGCACTTTGACCTGGAGCTCTGCCATCTCCGAGCTGGCACAGACCTTGGTGAGCTCCAAACCCGCAGGAGGGCTTGGCAGCAGAAACTCAACATGGATGTGCAGCAAACCATGCTACAGTTAATTGTTAATATCTTCAGGTAATGGGTTAATATTGGGTGTAGTATTTTCTATTATAAGAGCATGTGGTACTGCTTAAGACACTTTAAGCATCAGCAAAAATATTCTCTTACTTTGTAGGTATTTTGTAGAGCTTAGGTTTTGTTCGGGAATATGAGAAGGAGGTACTGTAGCCTGATGGAATATGAGTCACTGATGTTTTGATGTACATATACATTGCTAGAATATTCTAGATAAAACTCTTCTGATTTTGAGCTTGTCCTTTGTGGGAAGATTTCAGGAAGAGAAGTGCAGTCCTTGGAAAAGTGTAGGGCCCAGCAGGGATATCAGTCAAGTTTTGGTAATTCTTGTTAGAGGCACATGAATTCAAACCAGGACAGAGTAGAAAAGCTGAAAGCAGGAACAAGAGTTTAGAACACCTGAGTGTGTTTGGACTGAAAATGGATGAGATACCTGAAGAGTGTAACACCTGAGAATGAAGGAGGGAGAGGAGCTGTTTAAGGTCAAGGACAAAGTGTTGGCACAAAAAGGGACACTTGGCCAGGAGCTGAACTCAATGATCCTTGTAGGTCCCTTCCTACTCAGGGTATTCCATAATTCTATGGTAAGAAATGCGGGATATTGGCTGTGTTTCAGGCTGGGCTTCTTCCCTTTGGATCAGCTACTGAATTGCTCATGGGAATTCTCCTTGACACTTTCAGTCAGAAGGTGCTGGGTTATTTTACAGAGTCCAAATACCAAGTGTCTGATACTGGATCAGCTCAAGGAATGTTCCTGCAAGTGTCTGGACCCTCCAAGAAGGGCAGTAGCTGCTGGGTGTGGGGAATAGAACAGCCTTTACAGACAGCTGATTATGGAAACTGAAATGCATTCATTTCCACAGTGGGATTGTGGATTTCAGTGTTTGGCAATGGTAATTCCAAACAAAGATGAGGAGAAATGCATTTTTGCTCATAACAGCTTGAACTCTTTAATGCACTAAACATTTGGCTGCAGAAAATGAACAGATGCTTTGCTCTTTAAGAGATATGTATCACAAAGGGGCTGATTCTTTTGCTTTCTTTCTCCTTTCCTTCAAACTTTCTTTGTTCTTTTTTTCAGCCTTGTTTCTTCTATCTTCTAACTCTACCAGCATCCAGGAGTGAAGGAAAGTAACTCTGCAATGCAGTTGTGCTGCCAGTTCTGTCTTCAGCAAAGCATTGTAGTGATTTTGTATGTGTGGAAGTTCCATGTTTAAAGCTAAATTATATAGAATTACATAGAACTATGTACTATGTACTTTGATTGACCATGCATTTTCCTGACCCCATATGGTTGGATAAGCTGTTAACAAGATGTAGTAAGAACCCTGTATTTCTTGTGTCTGTTACAGAAGCAGTGTGATGGGACAGTGTGAGGTCAGGTCACATCTTTCAAATTGCCCATGATAGGTTCACTTGTCTTTTGTGCTCCAGTGGGTTGTGTATGATTCAGGAACTGTGTATGTAAATGGAATTCCAGGATTGGAGCCTAAGTCATGATTTACACTGATTCTCCTTCATGGTTTACTAAATCTTAGAGTGTATGTGAGTTTGGTAGCCTACTTGACTTGTAAGAATTTGAATTCTTTTTTCTGTGATTCAGTAACACAGACTTGTTCATTAAAACTGAGTCTGCCTCCTAATACTGCAATACTGCAGCACATTTCTGTTTTGTTTTCTGATGCTGCAGCATATTTCTAGTAGTACCAGTGGGCTGCTGCTATTGCAAAACTACAACTTGCTTACAAATCTCCAAGCAGATTTATCTATTTATATATTTTTGTCTCCAGGGAGGTAAAAGATCATCTAAATTATGAACACAGAGTGTTTAACAGTGAAGAATTTCTGAAAACAAGGGCAATCGGAGACCAGCCATTCTACAAAAAGGTAAATTCAGTGCTGTAATTATCTGCTATTAATAAATCTGTATTTCAGAATTAATACCAGTATCTGGAAATTTAAAGGTAACAAAGTGATGAGTCCTACATGTGAAATAGTTTTTGTTGGATAAAGCTTCCAATATGTGCAAACATTCTGAAAAACAAACAGACTAAAAGGAGAAACTAAAAGGAACCTCTTAATGTATCCTAAGGAGAGAAGTTGATTGGAAATCTTTTGACTAGGATTTCAGATTAATAGAAATAACTAAAATATTTTCAGCAGCAATCTCTAATGCTGTTATTGAAATAGTGGCAATTTTATGAATTGAAATTTAATTTTAGTTTAAAACTCCTATGTACATATTTAAGAAGGGCTTTGAGCAGTTGACTCAAATAGCAAATAGCAAAGTGGCAGGTTTGCTTTCAAGTGAATCTTAGAAAGTAACACACTATGGAGTAGTTACTAGTGGTGTCTGGCATTATATTAAGAAAACTCAAAAAAAATCCATTAGAAAGGACTAAAGTTTGGAATCTCCTGGACATACAATTGCTAGCAAAATATGCCACCTACTGGAGGAATAGTGGAAATTGGGAATCCTAATGCTTTTGGAGATGCTGTTTTGCTGTTTTACATTGGACATTGCAAGTGGATTAGTAAGAGGCATTTGAACATTTCTATAATAAACATGTTGTATTGCCTGAAATCCCAGATTTCACCTTGTTTAACTGTGCAGAGATGAGAGGTAGTGACTTTCCTTCTTTTTAATTCACATCTGGCATTTTTTTATTGTGTCCTCTATCCTAAAAGTAGCAATTTGACCTTTTAGAAGTTATTTCTGGATGATAGTACAATAATTACCTGAGAAGGAGACAATTTTGGGGGTTACCAGAAAAAAAGATTATTCACTTGTCTTTTCAGCATGACGCCATAATGTTAATTTAGAGTGCCCCCAAATTCTTATTCCAAACCATAGACAGTATAATCAGCACTTGGTTTAGGTAGAAAAGATAATACTAAACTTGTAGCTCTGTTTTGCTCAGTATTTCTCATTTTTGTTTGGTTTCACCTCCTGGAGGGCAGTTTGAGATTACTGTTTACCACTAAGCAAATATCATCAAAGTCCAGAAGGTGAATGGAAAAATTCATTTCTCTTGAAGCTTTCAGTCTTTTTATTTTTGCGATTGTTAAATTGGAAGGTCCCAGTTTTGCATGTGTAAAGGTAATAAAAATGAACAAAACATGCTAATAAAAATGTAAATTTATAAATGATCCATGGTTAACTCCTTTGTGTCTCACAGGTTTTAGAGACCTACATGTTTCACTCTTTCCTTAAAGCTCGTCTGAACAGAAAGATGGATGCTTTTGCGCGGCTTGACTTGAGTACCCGGTCTGAAGAGGACAGGTACAGTTTTCTCATTTCTTATTTTGATTTTGAATCTTCTCTTGGTATCAGTGATAAAAGTCCTTTTGACTCTATTGGTATGAGATCAGGTCATGTATAAATAAGATTATGATTAATTGTTAACTCAATTATGGTTATTGTAAAAGGGTTACATGAACAGATGGCTGTTGAAATTGTAGATGGAATACTGTGATGCAAAGAAGGAAAAAAAAAAGCAGGCAGTAATTTAGTGCATATGTATACTGAGTTCTTGTTGGAGCCCAGAAACCTGAGATTTTTGATCTTTCTGTGCTTTCTGACACTGACCCCCAGAAGAACACTGCTTTTGACTTGAGGCCTTGGAAAAGGCTTCCAAATTTGAGTGATGGAGTCATGGGTGTGTAGTTAAAATAAAAGTGTGTGATTTCACATGGTGAAGGGTTTTGAATGTGAGGTTTTTAGAATATAAGTATAGGGACATGATGGAGGATTTGGGGTGTTGTTTCCTTTCTGTCTTCTTCCTTCTTCATGGTTTCAGGCAGTAGTTTCTGGTTGGACAGTTAGTGCCGCACTGCGGGTCACAGGAGTTTGGTTATTGGGTTAAAAGTATAAATAATATAGGTGTTATTTCTTTGTTGCACTGTTTAGCTTTAAATGACCTTTTAACTAGCTAAATTCACCTCCATTTTGCTCACCTTTAGCTGGTAGCTACAAGTGTTGCAGAACTCTCTGTACTTTAGATAAGATTTAATAAACAATCAAACCCAAACACAAGGAAATTTGTCTCCTTTGTGTTTTTAATCCTGACTCTGAGTGAAGATAGAAGAAAATTAAGACAAGCCACTAATTAAGTGTGCAGTTACCACATTTACAAGTTCTGAAACTAGTAATGTGTTATTTTTATTTTCCTCAGGTTAGATTTGATGTTTCCCGCCCCCAGAAGGCTGACAATAGAGAAAATGGCTTCCAAGCGCATCAGTGCGGAGCGCAGGGCCAGCCGGCGCATGGTGATCAGCATGCCCAACCTGCAGGACTTCCAAGCGCCCGAGGGCCCCACCAGGAACTCCTCACTTCGAAAAGTGGCAACAGGTGTTGGTAAGGGAAGATTGTGATGGACAAAGACACTTCTGCTGTCTTTTGGGGTGACATCACTGAGTAATTGTCACAGAAACAGTCAGCTGCTGGGAAGAAAGGATGGGCTGAGTCACTTGGAGCTGGAGCCTGTCTGTGCTTCCCCTTGCTTATGAAGTCAGTCTGTAGCCTGCTGTAAGTTTTGCTGGACCTCAAAAGAGTGATTGGTCCCCGTGGGATTGATATTGGAGAATTGATTCCTGAGTCCTCACCCACTTTGTCCAGTTCTCTACTACTTTTAATTTAAACACAGGTTTAAGCTTATCACTGTTTAGAAAGAACTCCATGAGGAGTTTTTTTCCTTTTTCTTTTTTTAAACTTTTCCAGAATTGATGTTATCTGATTAGGGAATATTCTCATAATAGGGGTGATAGATACAAAAATGTATTTGTGTAATACAAATACACACTAGCACACCTGTAATCCTTGTTTCTTGTAATTGCTGCAATGGGGATTCTGTTTGTTGTTTGTAGTATTGCTGGTTGTGAAGATATTTACACTTGTACTCCTTTCCCTGATCAGTGTACTCTCTTGGTATTTGTTTCTAGCTATGAGAACGCCCTCCAAATCCATCACCACGTTCAAAATCCCCGAAATTCACTTTCCTCTGCTGTTCCAGTGTGTTCACTCCTACTACACAGACTTCTTCAACCACCTCAGCAAAGCTATCAGTACCTTACCCCCCGAGAACTCTGCATTGCTGGCAAGGTACTTCTACCTCCGGGGCCTTGTTAGCTTGATGCAAGGGAAACTACTAAATGCACTTTCTGACTTTCAGAACCTAGAAAAAACAGACTTAAGAATTTTCCCTACTGATCTTGTAAGAAAAATAGTGGAGACCTTGCCTCGCTCAGAGCGCTTGCAGGCAGACCGCAAACCTGAGCTCAAGAGGCTGATAAGTCGAGTGATGGAAAAACAAAGGGAAGTTCTGAAAACAGATGACCACGTAAAAAATTTCGAATTGCCAAAAACACACATGCAGCTGGATGATTTTGTGAAGAGAATTCAGGAGTCTGGGATTGTCAGGGATATAGACACTATCCACCGGTTATTTGATGCCCTGACAGTAGGTGAGTATGAGGTTGTTGGGGATGTTTTGATTATTATTTAGCATTGTCACATGAAAAAGGGAAATTTACTCAAACCCGTAGTGTTACTAGATCTGTCAGTGCCCTGGGAAAGCTGAGCCCCTTGTGCATGACCAGTCTATCAGTGTTCCATTGTGGGGACCCTTCACTGAGCAGCTGCTGCATGGAGCGAGGTTCCACTGACTTGTCCAAGGTCACCTGCCAAACAGAGAGACTCCTCCTGGATGTCCTTTACCCACTGCCAGCACCCTTACAGGGCTCACATTAACAGCTTAAAGAAGAACATTCTCTATTAGTAAAATTATCAGAGGTTGAAATTTGAGGATTGCTGGTTGCAATATCTGACTGCAAAAGTACGTTTAAAGTAGTATGTTAATTCATGGCCTTATATGGGCAAGCTCTAATTCCCAGTAAGAGCCAGTTTGAAATAATGATTCAGTGTGCATAGAGTGTGATTCTTTCCCAGTAGGTGTTCCTATGGGGGAGAAGGCAGGTTCAGCCTGTTGACTGATCTCAGAATTTATATGGAGTCTTTTCTAACATCTCATTCTTAACTC